CCATCACTGCTCGCTGGAACAACACTTAGCACAGACCCTGTAAGAACAGGACTGCTCAGGACCAGGAGCAATTTCACTCACAGTGGAGAAAAAGAGGGAAGGAGAGTGGCCATTATAATCCTGCGGTCAGACCTCCGAGATGTTTGCCAGATAAGATCCTGCTTCCTCCCAAGTCCTGGACCCCTCCTCCATAGGCAGCCAGGGGAGCACTCACCTCCTGAGTCTGAGGCTCTGCTCAGAGTCTCTGGCTGCTGGACCCCAGAGGCAGCCCTTATACTGGGCTTTTGGGGAAGTGGGAAGAGACTCAGGGTGGGGTGCGAGGGATTGGAGATGAGCAGAAGTTTGCTCAATCCTCTCCCCACTGAGCCATGCTCTCTACTGGGACCTGCCTCCTGGGGTCTACTGCCATATGTGGGTACCCATCCACCCCGGTGTGCTTGAGAAGACCCCAGATGTCTATTGTCGAGGCAAACTTATTATTAGTGCCCCTAAAGGGCCCCGGCCTGAACAATACTCCTTAACCCCAGGAGCAGCCTCCCTTTGGTCAATATCCCAACAAAGGGAGTGGAGAATCCAGGGATCTGGGAGACCATGAGAGGAGGAGGGAGGAGGTGAAGGGAGCCTCAGTCCCCCTTGGCCCTTATCTAGAACAAGTCCTTTATATGCATCGCCTCCCTGAATCTTCACTTTCATCTCATTCCCTTGAAAATGTATGACTATCCCTACTTCACAGACATGAAAAGTGAGATTCAAAGGGCGAAAGTGACAGGCCAAGATTTCACTGCAAGCGGGTGACCCGAGATTTCGAAGTCTTTTTGTCTCTACAAACTCTGTCTCTGTCTCCCCTCCCTCCCTCTTTTGCTTACTTTCCATCTCCCTCTCCCTCCCATTCTCCCCTTTAATACTTGAAAAACCTATGCTCTTTCTTCTGCGCTGAGGATCTAGATCAAGATTCTCAACCTTTGCACTCTTACTATTTGGAGTGCCTTCTTCATTGTGGGGGGCTGCCCTGTGCATTGTAAGAAGTTTAGCACCATCCCCAGTCTCTACCCACTAGAGCCCAGTAACACCTCTCCCAGTCATCAGTGTCAAAATTGTCTCCATACATTTCCAGCTGTCCTCTGGGGAGCAAAATGGCCCCAGCTGAGTATCACTGATCTAGAATATGCCATTTTGTCCAACCTCAGGTCGTATCTTCTGGCAAGGCGGCAACAACTTGAATGGAAAGCTTCATACAGAGTCACGCAGACATTGGTGGACCAGCTTCCCCACCCAACCCACTCTCCATCTCTGTCCAGCCATCTATCACCACAGGGTCAGGACTAGGGGGAAGTGAGTGATGCATTTGTCTCCAGTGCAAGATTTAAGGGAACACTACAGAATTCAGTAGTCAAGGCAAACAATATTTCAATGCAATCTTTCTTAAAAGTAATAAAAAAAGCAAAAACATCACAACTTCCATCAACCAAGCTCCAGCCAAATTCAGTGCAGTCCAAGGAGAGACTAGCAAGTGCTAAGCAGTGACTTTGCTGGATATCACCACCAAGAGCTAGCAGACTTGTTGGGATGGAGGACTCAACTCTGTGACCTCCTGGTTTTCCTCAGATTCCAGCCCAGTCCCCCAGTTCACAGGGAACCAGGAACAGGTAACTCAGAGGGTGAAAAGGCCTGGATTCCTTCCTCTCCTCTGCTCTCCCAGGGGACCTACAAATGGAGAAGTATCACAGAGGTCACTTCTGGGCCTGATTGCAGAGTAACCGTCTTGGCTGTTATCTCCCCAACCCAACGGACCAGACCCTCAGCTTATCTAGCTAACTGGGGGGATTGGCCAATTCCAGGGCCTCCAAACCCTGGTCTCTGGGTTTCAAACATCAGAGCTCTTAGTCGAGGAGGGGGTGGAGGACTAGACCTCCTCCTCATTGTTCTCCCCCCTCCTGGTGCCCAGGCCAGGGGCATCATTTCACTCAGCGGTTGGGTTGACCAATAAGGTCAACTACTCTCATGAACCAGCACCACGACAAGCTTTGCACGCATCGTTTCATTTCAACGTCCTGGTTTCACAGATGATGAAACGACATCTCAGAGCACTTAAACAGGTACCCAAGATCACACAGCAAGTCAGAGACAGTTCTAAACCAGAGACAGGCTCCTTATGCACTCATGACTGCCTTCCCTCTACCTCCTCTCACTCACCTCCCTTCTCCACAGCCTGCTCCTCCTCTGCATTGACCCAGTTTTCTTTGCATATGAAACCTGGAAAAAGTCATTCCAATGATTTGCTCAGTCACCACAGTGATGCCTATCTAATTTAAAACTGAAAATAACATTTTTAAAGGTCTACCATGGGCCACATATTATGCTTCATTAAGGCTTTTGCATCCATTATCCTACTAAATTAGTCACTAAAATCATCCTACAATCTGGTGTTGCCATCTCTAGCCTATATATCTGCTACAAAAGCTCAGAGAGGTTGAATGATTTGCCAAAGTTCACAAAACTCATAAGAAGTGACATGTTGACCCTACTCTGTCTGACTCCCAAGTCCTCGCTTTTTTTGACACACCCAAATGTGTTACCTCCAGACACTCTAGCCAATGGTGCCAACATTTTCAACATCCGTCAAGTTCCAAGTCTCTGGCTTACTGTTTGCATTTATGTTCACAGGGTTTTCACACTCTGTCTCCCGAGAGTCTGTCCACCCCCACAGTGTGCAGATGGCGTGTCTTGCCATCTTGAGAGGCAGTGTTGTGTGATGTATAATGAAATCACAGGTCCCAGAGTCAGCCCTCTGTGTCTCAGTTTTCTCATCCGTAACCTGAGGCTAATGCCACAACCTACCTCTAATGAGATCAGCTTCAGTACAGCTCTCAGAACTGACCCTGTCGGATGGTGTTGGGAGTGGCCCTTCTCAGGAACCCAGGGCTAGAACTGTGACCCTGATCAACACACAAGCCCTGAGTGTTGCTTGAGTTCTGCGCTTTGCACGATGTGAGGAACTCCACAGGTTCCATTGTAAACACACCATCTTCCTTTCACAGAGCTTAGTTAATATCTTCTTGGACAGGAAAAACACACACAGAAACCTGTATTTTGAAATGTAAAGCCAGTGCCCTTATGTCATTATTTTCATTTTTTACAACATTTTTTGTGGATATATAACACGCATTTTGTCAAGTATGGTACACTGCTCAGGGAAGTTTTACAGAGTGAATGCTTCCACATAACTGTGCCCACAACAAGATACAGAACGTTCCCGGGAACCCAGACGTCTCCTTCATGCCCCTTCTGGACATTAATCCCCCAAAGGGGATCTCCATGGACTGGAAGTCACACTTCTGTCACAACACACGCCCCCAACAGAAGAGATTTATGAGGGACAACACAAAATCCACCTATCGCCTAGCACAGAGCCTGGCACCTAGTAAATGCTTAATAAACGGGAGATTTTGTTACTCTTTTTATTAATTTAGGAATAGAGGGAAGTAATGCCTTCCCACACCAGGATATAAAGTCCGTGAGGGCAAAGAGTGAAAATTCTATTTCAGCTGCGTGCTCCACAGTACCCAGCACAGGGCTGAATCCATAACAGTGTTTCAGAATTCCAGCATCTTTGAAATCCACAGACTATTGTGGTACAATTACAATATTACAATGGACCTGCTTGATTTCTATCTGTTTCTCAATTTACTGTGCAAATCTGAGCAAGTAGCTTCTCCTATCTGGGCCATACTCAAAAATGAAAGGTCTTGATTGGCCTCTCTCTATGACCTTGGTCCCATCTGTAATTCTCTGAATTGGAAGGGTCCTGAAGGAAAGGGGCTTCAGGGCATTGACCCCTTACTATCTGCTAACCTCCCTAGTGGAGAGAGGATTCAGAACGCCTTCCTTCCTCATCTCTGATTGGGACACCCTCACCTCAGCTAGGTTGGAGTCCTATGCCCCAAGATGAACCCAAGGATAAGGGAGTCCATCCCGCCCCCACCTTCCCCCGACTGTGCTCCATCCCCATAGGATCGTCTCCTGGAGGGGAGAGCAGGAAACGCCTCCAACCAGAGAATCATAATGGTTAAAGGACCATGCTCTGGAGCAGATAGTAAAACCGCAGGCTTTCTCGCATTTGGGTATTCAGCCTTGGGCAAATCTTTTAACAGGTCATCCCTTCTCTGAGCCTGGCTCTGTAAGATGGGATAATAATTGTTGATCACACAAGGTCATCTCTGTATAGTGCCTGCCACAGTAGGGAGTACTTTGTGAGTGTGTAATAAGTGGCAAAAATTAGTGGATATTGTTGTGCTTATGTTATAAACAACTGTATGTTCCCAAACAGTGTCCTAACATATTCCCAGGCCTTATATAGAGTTGACCATAGAGCAGGTTGTCTGATATTGGGTTTCCCAAGGAGAAGACCCTGAGACAAGGACTTGTGTGCCAATTTATTTGGGAGGTGCAAGGGCACTAGCAGCAAAGAGAATAATTCACAAGAAAATATGTGTTGTAAACATAGCTACCTCCCTGGGTAATGAAGTTAATTCCACTGTGAAACGGTGCCCAGGACATGCCTTAAAATTGTTGCTCCTGAGGGCCAAGGGACTGAGGTGCTCATACACCCACTCCTGAGAGTTGTCGGCTGTTCCCAGGATGTGCTAATTTTCTAGCACATTAAGGCAGCCACAGTCTGTAGGAGAGGCCAAGACATTGATGGTCCATCATGAAAGATTCAAGAGAGATTGGTGGGGTCCTGCCAGGATCTGTACACCGGCACCCAGTAATTGAGCATTCTATGAAAAGAGCTAGCTGAGCCCATTCCTCTGTCTCCAACACTGCCCCACAGACCCCACCCCACGTTTCATCCTCCTTGACAGTAATAACTTCTGGCCCCTTTCATGAAAGACAGTAGAATCATCGTAGGGCAGAAAGTTCAAGATTGAGGCTAAGCAGAGTGGATCAATGATCAGAGGAAACAGAAATCAGTTTCAGGAAAGTAATTTTATTCCTGGGTGGTGGAGGAAGGGGCAGCAGGCATGGGATGGGAGGCAGGGCCCAAGGAGGGGGCGGTTCTGAACTCCGGACTGGGTCCTGCTAAGTAGGAACAGACACACAGAATGAACGCCTTGCAATGAGGTACTCTCCAGCCACCTTCTGTGAAGGCAGAACAAGAAGGGGCCTTCAGCCTCTTGTTTCCCCTGACTTAGCTCATGGAGGGTCTTTCCCCCTCCCCACCGCACAATTCACTGAAAATGAAGTTTGAAGATCCAGAAGGCCTCTCCCTTGGAGGGTCCAGATCTTCCTAGCACCACATCAATAAGCCCCTCCCACCTCCCCTGCCTTGTTGTCTGTCATCCCCACTTCCACATCACCTCGGTTCCACATGGACACACAGAAGCCACCAGAGGCCAGGGGCTGGCTGAGAGCCCAGTACCAAATCTTCCAGGCGCTGCCATCAACCCAGTAAAAGCGCTGGCAGCTGCCCTAGAGGAGAGAGGAAGGGAGAAGCTGGGCTTGGAGCATAAGGCAAAGGGAAAGCAGGTAGGTAGAGCTGGAACTGTCCCTGTCTGATCCCCCTGCTGCCTGCTGGGCATTTGCGTTCTCTGTTGGACCATCAGGGACACAGTCCTGGTCAACCAAAATGTTGATCCACAGTGATCAGCACCATTACATTCTATGCATCCTCGTGACACACTCATCCTTCTGGCCCTGACAAGAGGTGGGACAGGAGTTTCAACCCCATTCTAGAGATGAGGACCCAGGCTCATAGTCCTGCCTAAGCCATACAGACAGTCAGAGTCTGAGCAGAACTTGAACCCACACCTACTCATCTAAAGCCTTGGCTCTTCCCGATGCCTAGGCAGCCACCTTGCTATCATGCCCAGGTGTCCAACTCTCCCCAATTCTTCAGAGGATCAGAGAGCAGAAACACAAAGAAATCTGCAGCAAGTTGAGCACTGGCTTGGGTCAGAAGGGGCTCCCCATTTAGATCTGAGACCCCTCTTACCAAGACTGTGCTCATGCCTCAAATCCAGACTTGACCCTGGCTGGCACTTCTGGCTGAGCACTGGATGTGGTAGGGAAAGATGAGGTTATGGATGGAGACGAGTTTGCCCCTGTAGCACCTCTGCGAAGTATACTGCAAGGCAGGATAAAAGAGGAAAAATTGGGTGCCCCTCCTGAGCAATACACGTGATGTTAGCCCTGGATCTTGGAGTCTCCACAATTCATTCTCCCACTCACCAAGCCAATCAGACAGCCATTCGAAGACTACAGATCAAAATGTAACTACTGTCTCCACTTGACCCTCACTTCTTATGCTCTCTTACCCACCTCTAACACCTCTGCGAGCCTCAGACCCTCCTGACACCCCCAGGGTCCTCAGTGAGGAAAAGAAACAGTGACTCACAGGCCAGAAACATCCCCTCCATGCCCTCCTCCCCACCGCTGGACTCAGCCTCAGCCACAGCCCACTCACCTGAGCTTGACTAAACATCTTGGCTCTCGCCACCACAACAAAGCGGCAGGTCTTGCTTCCAGGGATGCCCACCTGTTTGACTGTATCCTCTTCCTTAGGACACTGAAAGTGTTTGTCCACCTCTTCTAGGACTGAGACTGATTTGACAGCCCCCTCTTCCTCAGGGGCATCCTCACCTCCAGAGCCTCGCTCCTCCTCTTCCTCCAGCAAGGTCAGTCCCTCCATAGGAGCCTCCATTGTCCCGTGTTCTGGCATCTCCCCATCGTAAGGCAGAATCTCATCTCCCAAGGGGCTCTCAAAGTTGGACGTTTCAGTCCCTGGCAGAGAGAAAGTCCAACAGCACCCCCGCACATCTTTTCCTGCTCCTCTCCAGAACCATGGACAGTTCGCTCCTTGTCCTAGCCATCAGAATGCTCAGCCTTGGAAACAGAGGAACCTAGAACCAAGCCTCCATGAGGATAACCTAGCCTCCCACATGAGGTCATGGGGTGAAGATGAAGAACTTAGCATCAGGCCATTGTGGGTTTGGGTACTGATTCCATCATCTACTAGCTTTAATTCATTTGCAATATGCGTATACAATACTACACTCCTCATGGGGATGCTATGAGGATTAAAGGAGATAATGCATAGAAAATGCTTAGCACAGTACACTAGGTGAGTAAAAGTAAAAGAAAGTCATAATGGTGATTATCATGGGCATTATCTATAAAGGACAAAATTGAGAATGTCATAAATGAGGCTGCAGATATACAGATGCCCCGAGGAGTCCCTCTAACTCCAGGTACTACAGTCTCTGTTCCTTTAAATGCAGATATCCTGCAATAGAGGATGGCCAGCAAAAGAGGTGGCTTTGTGACTCTGACCATACATACTTTAGAAAGCAGCAGAAGAGAAGAAAGACTGAAGACTAAGGAGACTTACCCAGATGAAGAGCTGAAACTGCCCCAGAGAGAACAGCCACAAATAGGGAGAGTTTCATCTTGGCTCTTTCCTGCAATGGGGAACATAGTTTGTCAAGCACACAGATACATACACACACACACACACACACACACACACAGCCACACCATTAGGGGACATTGGGAGTATGGTAAAGAAACAGCAGACATGAACAGAAGCCAGGATGGGCCAGTAAAGCTAATGCTGAGCCCAGTCTTTGATTCTCCAGGATGCTAGCACTTCTTTCTGAATAGAATGAAGCAGACCATGAGGGGCAGACAAGGTTGGCTTTCCTGTGGACCTGAATGTGAAGAGGGGAATATTATTTTTGTTTTGTACTTAATAAGCCCCTCACAGTCTATGAAACAAAGAGAATCCAGAAACAATGATTATTGGCCTTCCTAGGCCACACAGCACTTAGACAGTGGCTTCCCTCCTCAAAGCTCGAAAAGCCACATGTGCATCTCTGCCTTCCCTAGACAAGGAGAGCTCTCGCATACCTCTGAAGGAATGTGAAAGGTAGAGGATGAGAATTCCTGTGTGCTGACACCTATGAAACCTGACAGCCACACACAATCCCAGCCAGCCCTCCAGAACCTCCCGACCCAGGCCAGATGTGTCCCACGAGATGAACATTTACTTGGAATAAGTTCCACTACACCAGAAAGCACTTACCTGCCCAGAAGTCTTCCTGGGTCCTGAGGAATTCCCAAATCCCAGATCTTCCTTCTCTCCATCCCACAGTGACATTTTATGTAGGGACTTTGGAGGAAGTTCCCCAGAGGAAGGAAGGTTTGCCACAGATTGAGGGAGGTGGGAGGGCTGATAAGAACCCTTCGTTTCTTCACTTCTTTGCGGAGACCACTCATTACCCTCCGGCTTCTCTCCTGTCACCCTTTTCAGGAACCTGGGGGGCCATTTTGAGATGTCTCAGAGCCAGTGGTTCCTATCCTGTACTGCATTTCAGACTCTCCTTGGAAGCTTTCCAAAATGCATGGTTCTCCTGCTTTATTGGTGGGAATGTGAATTGTCACAGACGTTTTAACCCTGAAGTATGTTTCATTAGCTTCACAGTAAATGTGCCTCCAGGAAAGTTGGAGTGTGGGCATGATCATGAGGACTTAGCAGAAATGAACTTAACTGTAGATGAGGGCTGGCCCCTCGAAGGAAGGTGCAGAGAAAAGGGGTGTGGGCAGCTTTGGGAGTAGTTTGGGACAATCAAGCAGTGGGCACTTGCAAAGGCCCAACACCAATGATCCCCCACTGCAGGGAGAGAAGGGGTATGATTCCCACACATAAGGCACATCTCAGCAGACACATCAATGAAGACAGCAGTGCATTCTCCAACCAGAAGACCCACAGGCATTCCCGGTGAATCCAGCTCTCAGGAGCCTGGGCTGGGGCTGAGGACGTTCTCTGAGGGGGAGATGGAGGCAGCAGTGTCCTGGAGGGGCCCTCTCCCCCAGCCCTCCCCTTCTCCACACTGGGCTGGTCCTCCTGCGGGTGCATCAGCCCCTCCTGTCCTGAACTTGTGGGTGTGAGCCTGACGCTGTCTTCCCACAGCTGAACTAAGTTAGCACTTCTGTGTGCTAGACTTCGGGTTGACATCAGTACTGATAAAATAGCTAACTTGTCTCTCCTGCATCCTGGTGTCCTCAGCACAGTCACCAACATAATCACATGGACCCGCACACCAACCCTGGTGAGCTTGCTGTGGTTTGTTATTAATGCTATTTCATAGAAGAAGAAATGTGCAATACATGGAAATTCAAACTGGAACCCATGCTCATTCCTACCACTACACTGCTTCCTTAATGACACTGCACAAAAGCCAACATTTAGTGACAACCTGCCATTGCCATGCCATGGGCTGAATGCATTACAGACGTTGTCTAATTCAACTTTTATTTTATTGAAAAAGAAACTGAGGCTTAGTAAGGCTAAAAAAATTGAAATGTAGAACAGGGACTCAGACCCAGAGCTTTGTGACTCTGGGGGCTGGGATCCTGACTTCTGTGCTATGTCTGTCCGGGAAAAATTAGGACATTCCTTGGCACCTTCTTTTCTATATGTGATGGGTTAAACCAGGTTCTGCTGCAGTAACAAGCAGACTGTGAACTCTCAAGGTTTACTACACACAGCAGGTCAGGCAGCCCCTTCCATCGGGTAGCTATGCCTTCAGGGACACGGGGACCCCCAGATCCCTGTGGCAAGGACAGTGAGAATGGGAAGATCATAGGGGGTCATTTAAAGGCCAGGCCTGGAAGAGACTTACATCATTTCCTCCCACATTGCATTGGCCACACCCAGTAGCATGCTGCAGAGCCCAACTTATGCAAGGAATACCAGGAAACACAGTCTACCTCAGTCTCCAGCAAGAAAAAATGGTGAACATTGCACTCTCTGCTTCCTTATCTCCTTTTCAATGGCTTCTCTTCTCCACAACCGCCCTCTCCCCATGCCCACTGACAGTGACACACATCCTTGCCTTCTGTGTTCCTTCTCACAAAACCTTGTTCTCGGCAAGTTACCAATCAACCTCCCAGAGGTATTAAGAGATAAGGCCCTTGGAGTTTCTTCTCCTAAGAGTATTTGCTTTTTAATCAAAGGCTATTCAAGACTGCAAGGCCTTAAACAACCAAAGGAATGAATATATAATGGTTGAAGTCGACCCAGTAACAGATAGTGCTGGATATTTGAGGGACACCTTATCTACCCTTGCCTGCATCAAGCAAGCTTCAATCTGGAGACGTCTAAGCCCCCTCCTCTCCATGCCCTCCCTCTACCTCCGGTTGTGGCTGGCAGGATATCGGGCTACCAGGATGGCCTAGAATCGATTCCCCACCTGAGAATTAAATGGGGACTTGCCATTCAGCCGAAATACCAGTCCCAGAGCTCCCTATGCAGAGTTTCCTTTACTGCCTATCCCTCCCACCCCTGAAAGCCAGCTTCTACTGTTCTTTCAGAAGCAGAGTGTCAAGAAATAGCCTGTTGCAGGGTCGGCCCTGTTGCTCAATGGTTAAACTTCCACATACTCTGCTTCGGTGGCCTATGGTTTGCAGGTTAGGATCCCAGGTGTAGACCTACTCCACTTATGGCCCATGCTGTGGAGGCATCCCACATACAAAGGGGAGGAAGATTAGCATAGATGTGAGCTCAGGGTGAATCTTCTTCACACACACATGAAAAAGAATTCGCTTGTTGCAGTATGCAATGCAGGGACCTGGGTGGGGGCCTGACCCCCAGGCAGCCCCCGTTCCAAGCCCTTGGGGGGACTGACATGCTGTGATTAGCAGCTTCCTGACACAAACTGCAACCAAGGCTGAGGGACACACCCCTCTGTGGAGGACAGGCCTCTTCACCAGAAGCAGTCCCTGAGGTCCAGCATTGGTGAGATCCATGGCAAGCCCAAGACCCGTGGTCCTGTTGTCAGAGGCCCGCTCATATTCAGGGAACTCAGCCCTACTGCTTCTTCGCCACCCGCTTCCCCTGGGGTTCGCCGTCCTGTCCTGTTCCACCACCTCCAGAAGCTTTATAAGAAAGCACATCTGGGAGACTGTTCTTTTAGTTCCTGAAACTCCACATCCCATCAAATGCCTCGACAGGCACACACGTGTTCACACACAAACGTAGACCTGTACACAGGTGTGCTCAGACACACACTAACATGTATACACACCCCAAAACATACTGGCCAAAGACACACAAGTACACACATGCATGCACACACAGATTCAGGCATCTTACAGTCCAGAGCTTCATAGGTGTCCACAGACACACAAGCCTATCCATTAACACACAGAGATGCACAAAATTTACACCCTCAAACAACACACAAATACACACTGAGTCAAAGATTTATGCACATTTACATATACAGATTCACACATACAGAGATACACACAGGTATACAAAGAGTGACTCGCTTACACACCCAAATACATATACACATACGTGCACGTGCATCTGCAGAAATATTTGTACCTTCTCCCTGTGCCCCATGTAGAACGACAACCAAAGAAGTATTTCTGTCTCAGAGCGCCCCCCTCTTTCTCTCCCCACAACCCAAGGCTGTCTGCCCTCTTAATACCCAGTCTCAGGTCTGAACTCCTGCTGCATCAACCCCAGATTCTACCGGGAGCCAAGCATCCTGCCTCGAACAAAGTAAAGAGCAGCAACAGTGCTCTCTGTCAATGTCCCCTGGGTCAGAGAACACGGGGTGAGGGAGAGAAGCTGAGGCCTGGGGCTGTAGACACAGCATGGGAGCCAGAGGCTACCAGATACCCTGACTGGCCCCAAGGCCCTCCTGGTGGGTGGCACCTGCCTCCTGAGAACGTGTCGTCTTTATGGAGGTAGGCTGCAGATGGGGGAGAGGGAAGGAAGCCACCCTCCTGGGAATGTAGTGCGGAACAGATCTCAGAAGAAGTTGGGGCCTTTCAATTCACTCACAGTGGCTGGAAGAATGGAAAGCAGGGGTCAGTATCTGACGCCAACAAGACAGAGGACTAGAGGAACAGGCTGCCCCCAGACAAGACTACTTTCTCCTCCCTCCCACGTGCTTATCCAGATGGCATCTCACCGCTCCACCCGAATCCTTGAATCAGCAAGATCAGCTCCATTTTGGAAAGCCGCCCCACTCTCACCCTACCCCATCCCGCACAGTGAACCCAAACAAAACAGGAGGGCCAGTTCCCCACCCCCTGGCGAATGGGATCTTCCCCCCGAGCCTGGAGGGGAGGGATGGGAATCCCTGAGCCAGGGCTGAGAAGGGTCCTCCAGAGTCCATTCTCCGCCCCCAGGTGGCGCTGCAGCCCAACACCTCAGCACCCCCACCCACCCCTACCAGGAGCCCTACTCCACCACCTTTTACTTTCCTCAAAGCCCCACCCTGTGGGAGTGATGGCTTCCAGGCGTTTCCAACTCCAGGGATTCCTCCAAAGGGAGCAGTGAAGAAACGAGTCATGAAATGCTGTGGGAAGTCTGGTTTTATTTCCAGGAGAGACAGGGGGACGAGCCCAGTGTCCAGGGGGCAGATGGGAAGCTGAGAAGGGAGGAGGCTTTAAGGCGGGGTCTCTGTGCCAATGGCTTAGAAGGAGCAGATGAAGGGCAGACGCCTGCTGCAAGGACTGCCTCGCCAGTGACCCCCTGGCAGTAGAGAGCACAGTGAGGTCAGCTGCCCATCTGAGTGTGGCTTGTGCCCCACTCCTTCCCTCCTCAGGCGCTTCATACCCTCCCTTGCCTGCTGTGGCTGTGATCAGTCAGCCAGATGTTGCCTACACATCCCTACCAGCTCACGTTTCTTGAGCTCCCACAGCGAAGGAAGCAGGGTGATTGAGTGCTTTTATCTTCACAATGACTCCAAAAGATGGGTGCTAGCTCATCCCCATTTCTCAGATGAGGAAACTGAGGCTTAGTGGGGGTAATAATTTGCCTGTGTCTCAGCCGACCAGTGGCAGAACCAGGATGTGAACCACAGCAGTCTTACTCCAACGCCTATGGTTTTAGCCATTGTACTAAGCTCCCTCATATCCCTCATCCATGCTGTTGGAAGCTGGAGAACTGTCTGTCAGCCATCCCTAATTCCCACATCTGTCCTTAGTCCCTCATCCACCTTTAAATTCACATCTGCTAGTCTCATCTGTCACCCTGATATCAGAAGAGGGAAAGGACCCCCACCCAGGCCGTAGGATGGAAAGCCCGCATCTAACCCCCACACAGGGTACCCCATCACCTGGTTTTGCTTTGAGGAATCCTTCCCTACATCTCAGCCCTTCTCACAGAGAGGAAGTTGGCTGTCCGGTTGGGGGGAGGGTGTGAGTTTGGGGAGGAGTGTTGAGACAGCTCAAAAGGACACTATGTAAGAGTTCACCTTGACCCCCAATCCCCTTGCCCTGGTGCTCAGTTCCCCTCACCTCTGGTGCATAGAGCCACGCAGTGCCCTCTCCCATTTCTAGGTTGCCCTGAGGCCCAGTAGCTAAAATTCCAGCGGCTCCCATCAGTCCAGCGAAATCTCCTGCACCAGCGCTAGAGAAGGGATAGGCTGCATCAGAGGGCAGAAATCCAGGAAGACAGAGACAATCACGGGCTCCAGAGAATGCCCACTGGGCACCAAGCATCCCTTTCTGGACACTCACTATATGTATAATCTCTTCTCACTGTTCACCCGGCTAGAAGCCAGATACCCTAGAGATCCATCCCTGAGTGCAGGCAATGGCATCATCACACAGAGTAGGCTTCTCAAACTTCATTGTGTATACAAATCTCCTGGAGATCTTGTTGAAATGCAGATTCTGATTAAGGAGGGCTGGGGTGCGGCCCAAGATTCTGCATTTCAAGCAAGCTACCAAAGGATGCTGATACTACTGCTTCATGGACCACCCTTGAGTAGCAAATGTGATGGCACTTATTCATCCACAATCTCAGAGCCACGCTAACAGAAGAAGGACTCCATTTTTGACATGGGGCAAGTGAGGCTCAAGGAAGTCGTTCAGCTTGTAAGTGACCAAGAAGGGCATGGAAACTATCTCGTGACGCCAGGGGTGTGCTGGTCTTTAACAACCAGCTCTGGGGGAAGGTGAGAAGGCAGAGGGACTTGTAGCAGTTGCCAATTTCCTTGGTGTAAATTCATCCACCATGAGAGATTTCAAGCTACAAGCATGAAGTCACTCAACATGGAGTTGGGAAGAGATGTGCCTAATCACTGTTTCTCCTGAGCCAGTACAAGCCACCTGCCTAAGGTCACCTCAGCTGTTTGGATAAGACTCGAGGCCAGAAGGTGTACCCTCGAGGTGAGCAGAAAGAACCTCCTGTACCTGGGAGTTGGCCCTTCACTTACTCAGCCTCTCAAGATGCCTCTAATCCAGACCTGGCCTTGGTTGATACCCCTGATTGAGCACTGGAGGCAATAGTTTAAGCTGGAGCTGTGTATGGAGACAAGATGGCCTCGGTAGCACCTCATGCAGATATTCTGCAGAGACAAGAAGAGGTGGTGTAAAGAATTCACTCTCCTTTTACTCAAGTCCGTGAGTCTCCAGGAGAGAGCCCTACATCCCTTTTCAGTTCATAAATCAGGACCTACTTGCCCCCCTCCATCTCATCGCTTGCTCCTTTTACTGCTGTCAGCAACTTCTTGCAGGAAATAATAATAATACTCAGAACCATTATAGCCCCCATTTATTGAGCGTTTACAATGACCCAGGGACTATTCTAAATACTTTCCATGTATTATCTCATTGAAACTTCACCAGAAGTTTAAGAGCTTGGAACTATATATCTCCAATTTACAAATGAAGATACTGAAGCTCTGAAAGATGAAGTGACTTGCCCAGGTAGCACAGCCACTGACATGCAGAGCCAGGATTGAACATAGGTCTATCTAATAACAAAGCCTTTTGTCCAAATAAGTGGTTCTCAAAGTGCAGTCTCCAGGCAACAATATCATCATCACCTGGGAATATGGTATGAATGCAAACTCTTAGACCCCACCCAAGACTTGCTAGATCGGAAATTTGAGGTAAGGGGCCCAGAAATCTGTTTTTTAACAAATTTAATATCACTAGGAGATTCTGGTGCACATTAGGCTTTGATAACCACTAGTCTAAATGAGTATGGAACGGAAGGCTGAATCCACTCTCTTCTTCTCCCCCAGGTCCTCCACAGTAGCATTCCTGCCACTCACCTGAGCTTGTTTAAACCTCCTAGGAGTTCGCACCAAGTGGTAGCGGCAGGTCTTGCACCCAGGATGGCCAGACAATTCAATTGTTTCCTCTTCCCTGGGGCACTGAAAGTCTTCACCTAGGGCAGCTTGGTCCCTCCATGGCCTGCTCATCCTCAAAGGTGTCTTGATTGGTGGAAGCCTCAGCCTCCTCTCCTTCTGACTGAATCACCTCATCTGTCAGGGCCAACTCTCCCTCCTACTCCCCTGAACCTTCCACATACTGGATCAGGTCTGCCTGTGTCTCTCGGTTGTCCAAATGGAGGTCATGATTCTCTGGGTAGAAGAGGTACCTTGCCTTCAGTTGGGGAGGGGGGAGCCCTTTCATCCAGGACCATGGGCAGCTCTTATCCACCTCAAGCCTTCCTATGAACGCCACCTGGCGCCAACACTGGAAGGATCACTGAGGTGTTGCGTGCGGCATGAACTCTTGGGTCATCTGCACAAATGTATGAGAACCTGACTTCTGGCTGACACCACAGTTGTGTATTTTGGGGGTGAGAGGAAGCACCTGTGAGAAGCCCTTCGCCTACACAAGTGGGTGTTTTTTCTTTGTGAAGGAGCCCTGATAGAAAGTAAAGGTCACAGTTGTGAGTCCAGGAGAAATCTTAACAGAGATAAGCTGGGTCAACTGAAGAGGGGAGGCTGTGGCTTCAGCCCCACGAGTGCAAAACTGGTGCAGAAAAGAGGAGAAAAGAGAAACATAGATGAGAAGAGAAGGGGAGGACTTACACATATGAAAATCAGCAACTGTCCCCAGCAGGGGAAGGGGCAGGCGCAGAGGGCATTTCATATCTACTCAGTCTTGTGACAGGGACACAGCTCCACCTTGCCTCCCTGGGATGTCCAGTATGTCTGCACAGCCCCTGGCACAGGGCAAAGAAGAAGAGTTTGTTTAACTGGTTTATTAAAGGGCAAACTAGAGAGCTTGCTTCTCCTCCAATGAACCGACCCGGAGTTGGAGAATCGGGGAAAGGATGTGGGGGTGTCGGCTCAAGGTGAAAACTCCCTTTTTTCCTGAGAACTCCATCACTGTTCGCTGGAAAAAGGCTCAGCCCAGACCCTGGAGGAATAGGTCTGCTCAGAGCCAGGGCCAATTTCGCTGACAGTGGAGAAGAAGAGGGAAGGAGAGTAGCCATTATGGTCCGAAGGACAGACCTCTGAGGTGTTTGCCAGATAGGGTCCTGCTTCCTCCCAAGCCCTGGACCCCTCCTCCATGGGCAGCCAGGGGAGCACTCACCTCCTGAGTCTGAGGCTCTGCTCAGAGTCTCTGGCTGCTGGACCCCAGAGGCAGCCCTTATACTGGGCTTTTGGGGAAGTGGGAAGAGACTCAGGGTGGGGTGCGAGGGATTGGAGATGAGCAGAAGTTTGCTCAATCCTCTCCCCACTGAGCCATGCTCTCTACTGGGACCTGCCTCCTGGGGTCTACTGCCATATGTGGGTACCCATCCACCCCGGTGTGCTTGAGAAGACCCCAGATGTCTATTGTCGAGGCAAACTTATTATTAGTGCCCCTAAAGGGCCCCGGCCTGAACAATACTCCTTAACCCCAGGAGCAGCCTCCCTTTGGTCAATATCCCAACAAAGGGAGTGGAGAATCCAGGGATCTGGGAGACCATGAGAGGAGGAGGGAGGAGGTGAAGGGAGCCTCAGTCCCCCTTGGCCCTTATCTAGAACAAGTCCTTTATATGCATCGCCTCCCTGAATCTTCACTTTCATCTCATTCCCTTGAAAATGTATGACTATCCCTACTTCACAGACATGAAAAGTGAGATTCAAAGAGGGAAAGTGACTGGTTAAGATTTCACTGCAAGTGCGTGAACCGGGATTTCTAAGTCTTTTTGTCTGTACCACCTCTGTCTCTCTGTCTCCCCTCCCTCCCTCCTTTCCTCACTCTCCTCCCTCTCCCTCCCTTTCTCACCTTTAATGTGTGAGTTGAGTATCAGTGATCTAAAATATGCCATTTTGTCCAACCTCAGGTCGTATCTTCTGGCAAGGCGGCAACAGCTTGAATGGAAAGCTTCATGCAGAGTCACGCAGACATTGATGGACCACCTCCCCACCCCTCCCACTCTCCATCTCTGTCCAGCCATCTATCACCACAGGGTCAGGACTAGGGGGAAGTGAGTGATGCATTTGTCTCAAGTGCAATTTTGAGGGAACACTAAAGAATTCAGTAGTCAAGGCAAACAATATTTCAAAGAAATCTTTCTTAAAAGTCAAATTAAATGCAAAAACATCAAAACTTCCATCAACCAAGCTCCAGCCAAATTCAGTGCAGTCCAAGGAGAGACTAGCAAGTGCTAAGCAGTGACTTTGCTGGATATCACTGCCAAGAGCTAGCAGACTTTTTGGGATGGAGGACTCAACTCTGTGACCTCCTGGTTTTCCTCAGATTCCAGCCCAGTCCCCCAGTTCACAGGGAACCAGGAACAGGTAACTCAGAGGGTGAAAAGGCCTGGATTCCTTCCTCTCCTCTGCTCTCCCAGGGGACCTACAAATGGAGAAGTATCAGAGAGGTCACTTCTGGGCCTGATTGCAGAGTAACTGTCTTGGCTGTTATCTCCCCAACCCAACGGACCAGACCTTCAGCTTATCAAGCTAACTGGGGGGATTGGCCAATTCCAGGGCCCCCAAACCCTGGTCTCTGGGTTTCAAACTTAAGACCTCTTAGTGGAGGAGGGGATAGAAGACTAGACCTCCTCCCCATTGCTCTCCCGCCTCCTGGTGCCCAGGCCAGGGGCATCATTTCACTCAGCGGTTGGGTTGTCCAATAAAGTAAACTACTCTCATGAACCAGCACCACGACAAGCTTTGCATGCATTGTTTCATTTCAACGTCCATGTTTCACAGATGACGAAGCAACATCTCAGAGCACTTAAACAGGTGCCCAAGATCACACAGCAAGTCAGAGACAGTTCTAAACCAGAGTCAGGCTCCTTATGCACTCACGACTGCCTTCCCTCTACCTCCTCTCACTCACCTCCCTTCTCCACAGCCTGCTCCTCCTCTGCATTGACCCAGTTTTCTTTGCATATGAACCTTGGGAAAAGTCATTCCAATGACTTGCTCAGTCGCCATAGTGATGCCTATCTAATTTAAAACTGGAAATAACATTTTTAAAGGTCTACCATGGACCACATATTATGCCTCATTAAGGCTTTTACATCCATTATCCTACTTAATTAGTCACTAAAATCATCCTACAATCTGGTCTTGCCATCTCTAGCCTGTGTATCTACTACAAAAGCTCAGAGAGGTTGAATGACTTGCCCAAGTCCACACAACTCATAAGAAGTGGCATGTTGACCCTGCTCTGTCTGACTCCCATGTCCTCGCTATTTTTGACACACCCAAATGTGTTACCTCCAGACACTCTAGCCAATGGTGCCAACATTTTCAACATCCGTCAAGTTCCAAGTCTCTGGCTCACTGTTTGCATTTATGTTCACAGGGTTTTCACACTCTGCCTCCCGAGAGTCTGTCCACCCCCACAGTGTGCAGAGGGCGTGTCTTGCCATCTTGAGAGGCAGTGTTGTGTGATGTATAATGAAATCACAGGTCCCAGAGTCAGCCCTCTGTGTCTCAGTTTTCTCATCCGTAACCTGAGGCTAATGCCACAACCTACCTCTAATGAGATCAGCTTCAGTACAGCTCTCAGAACTGACCCTGTCAGATGGTGTTGGGAGCAGCCCTTGTCAGGAAAGCAGGGCTACAACTGTGACCCTAATCGACATACAAGCTCTGAGAATAGATTTGGCTCTGCACTTCATACGGTGTGAGGAGCTCCACAGGTTTCATTGTAAACACACCATCTTCCTTTTACAGAGCTTAGTTAATATCTTCTTGGACAGGAAAGACACACACAGAAACCTGTATTTTGAAATGTAAAGCCAGTGCCCTTATGTCATTATTTTCATTTTTCACAACATTTTTTGTGGATGTATAACACGCATTTTGTCAAGTATGGTACACTGCTCAGGGAAGTTTTACAGAGTGAATGCTTCCACATAACTGTGCCCACAACAAGATACAGAACGTTCCCGGGAACCCAGACGTCTCCTTCATGCCCCTTCTTGACATTAATCCCCCGAAGGGCATCTCCATGGACTGGAAGTCACACTTCTGTCACAACACACGCCCCCAACAGAAGAGATTTGTGAGAGACAACACAAAATCCACCTACTGCTTAGCACAGAGCCTGGCACCCAGTAAATGCTTAATAACTGGGAAGATTTTGTTACTCTTTTTATTAATATAGGAATAGAGGGAAGTAATGCCTTCCCACACCAGGATTCAAAGTCCGTGAGGGCAAGGAGTGAAAATTCTACTTCAGCTGCATCCTCCACAGTACCCGGCACAGGGCTGAATCCATAACAGTGTTTCAGAATTCCAGCATCTTTGAAATCCACAGACTATTGTGGTACAATTACAATATTACAATGGACCTGCTTGATTTCCATCTCTTTATCAATTTACTGCACAAACTTAAGCAAGTAGATTCTCCTATCTGGGCCATACTCAAAAAATGAAAGGTCTTGATTGGCATCTCTCCATGACCTTGATCCCATCGGTAATTCTCTGGATTTCAGGGGTCCTGGAGGAAAGGGGCTTCAGGACACTGACCCCTTACTTTCTGCTTGCCTCCCAGGTGGAGAGTGGAGAGAGGATTCAGAATGCCTTCCTTCCTCATCTCTGATTGGGACACCCTCACCTCAGCTAGGTTGGAGTCCTATGCCCCAAGATGAACCCAAGGTTAAGGGAGTCCATCCTGCCCGCCCCTCACCCCCCACTGTGCTCCATCCCCATAGGATCATGTCCTGGAGGGGACAGCAGCCAACGCCTCCAGCCAGAGAGTCACAATTGTGAAAGCAACATGCTCTGGAGCAGTTAGCAAAATCAAAGCCTTGCTTGCATCTGGGTATTCAGTCTTGGGCAAATCTTTTAACAGGTCACCCCTTCTCTGAGCCTGGCTCTGTATGATGGGATAATAATTATTGATCACACAAGGTCATCTCTGTAAGATGCCTGCCACAGTAGGGGGAAATTTGTAGGTGTACAATGTGGTAACAATTTGTAGCTATTGCTGTGTTTATATTATAAACAACTGTGTATTCCCCAACAGTAATTTATTTGAGAGGTGCTAGGGCACTAGTAGGGAAGAGAAGAATTCACAATAAAATGTCTGTTGTAAAGACAGCTACCTCAGCGTGTAACTGGAAGTTCATTCCCCTGGGAAATGGTACCCATGACATGCCTTAGAATTATTCCACCCGAGGGACTGGGGTGCTCAGATATCCACTCCTGAGAGTTGTCGGCTGTGGCTGGGACATGTTAATTTCTTAGCACGTTAAGGTAACCACAGTCTGTAGGAGAGAGAGGCCAGGACATTGAGGGTCCACCGTGAAAGATTCAAGAGAGGTGGATGGGGTCCTGGCAGAACCTGTACATAGGCACCCGGTAAGTTGGTGTTGTATGAAAAGAGCTAGCTGAGCCCCTTCCTCTGTCTCCAGGACAGCCCCACCGACCCGATCCCATGTTTCGTGCTCCGTGAGAGTGATAACTTCTGGTCCCTTTCATGACAGACAGTGGGGTAGGGAGTCATTGTAGCATAGAAAGTTCATGAGTAGGGCTAAGCCGAGTGGATCAATGATCAGAGGAAAAATAAATCAATTTCAGGAAAGCAATTTTACTGCTGAGGGTGAAGGTAGGGGAGGCAGGCAGGGGAATGGAGGCAGTGTCTTAGGAGGGGGCAGCTCTGAAGTCTTGACTGGGTCCCACTCAGTGGGAACAGACAAAGGGGAGGACCACGTCGCACTGAGATAGTCTCCAGTGACCTCCTGTGAAGGCAGAACCAGAAGCGGCCTTCAGCCTCTTGTTTCTCCTGACTCAGCCCCAGGAGTCTTCACTCCCCACCCCACCCCGCACTTCAGTGGAGATGAAGTCTGTAGATTCAGGAGGCGTCTCCCTTGAAGGGTTCAGCTCTTCCTCGTAACTCCTCTAGGAGCCCATCCCACCTACCCAGGCCTTTTCAGATTTCATTCCCACTCCCACCTCACCTTGGGTGTACATGGATACACAGTTGCCACCAGAGGCCGAAGGCTCGCCGCGAGCCCACAGCCAAAAATTCCAGGCACTGCCATCCAACCAGTAAAAGCTCCTGCACCTACCCTAGAGGATAGAGGAGGGAGAAGGTGGGTTGGAGCTTGAAGCAAAAGGAAGACAGGTAGGAGAGCTGGCACTTTTCCTGTCTAGTCCTCCTGCTGTCTGCCAGGTATGTTCCTTGACTATTGGACCATGACAGACACTGTTCTGGTCAACTGAAATGTTGATCCACAGTGATCATCACCATCACATTCTATGCATCCCTGTGATGCATTCATCCTTCTGGCCCTAACAAGAGATGGGACAGGAGTTTCAACCCCAACCTAGAAATGAGGAACCAGGCTCACATTCCTGCCCAAGTCATAGAAACAGTCAGAGGCTGAGCAGAACTTGAACCCAAACCTCCTCGTTCTAAATCCTTGCCTCTTCCCGATACTTAGGCAGCCCCTTTGATGTCTTGCCCAGGTGTCCGTTTATCCCCAGTTCTTCAGGGGATCATAGAGCAGAAGCATAAAGAAATCTGCAATACGTTGTGCGCTGACTTGGGTCAGGAGGGGCTCCCTTAGAGCTGGGACGGTCTTACCGAGCCTCTGGCTGCACCTCCAATCCAGATTTGACCCTGGTTGACACTTCTGGCTAATCGCTGGATCCGGTAGTTAGAGGTGAAGCTATGGATGGAGACGAGGAAGCCCCGGTAGTGATTCCTTCAAGTAAACTGCAAGCCAGGACAAAAGAAGAAAATGAAGCGCCCCTCCCACAGGAATTCACAGAACCTTAGCCCTGGGTCTCGAAGTCTCCACAATTCACTCACCCACTCCCCACCCCAACCCCACAGCCATTTGAAGACTGGAGATCAAAACATAACTTCTGTTTCCACATGATCCTCAACTCTTATCCCCCTTACCCACCTCTAACACCTCTGAGGGCCTCAGCCCATGCTGACACCCCCAGGGTCCTCAGTGAGGAAAATAACCAGTGACACAAAGGCCAGAGACATCCCCTCCATACCCTCCTCCCCACCCCAGGCCTCAGACACAGCTACAGGCCACTCACGTGAGCTTGATTATATTCCATGGCTGTCGGCACCAGGGTAAGGCGGCAGGTTTTGCATCCAGGGATGCCCTCCAGTGTGATTGTATCCTCTTCCTTAGGGCACTGAAAGTCTTTGTGCACCTCTTCTAGGGCTGAGTCAGACTTGACAAGCCCCTCTTCCTCAGGGGCATCTTCACTTCCAGAGTCCCCCTCCTCCTCTCCCTCCAGCAGCATGAGTCCCTCCGTAGGAGCCTCCATTGCCCCACGTTCTGGCATATCCCTATCCTGAGGCAGGGTGTCATCTCCCAAGGTGCTCTCAAAGTTGGATGTTTCAGTCCCTGACAGAGAGAAAGGCTAAATGCTCCTCCTTCACATCTCTCTCCCTCCTCCACAGAACCATGGACAGTTCCCACCTTGCCCTAGGCATCTGAGGGCTCAGCCTTGGAAAGAGAGGAACTTGAAATAAGGCTCCCTGAGGAGAACCCAGCCTCCCACATGAGGTCATGGTGTTAAGAGCAAGGTCTTAGCGTCAAGGGGTTGTAGGTTTGCGTACCGATTCCATGATCTACTAGCTTTACTTTACTTGTGATATGGGTGTACAAATGGGCAAGCTCCCAGGGGAGCTCATGGGGATGATATGAGTATTAAACGAGATGATGCATAGAAAATGTTTAGCACAGTGGACTCAGTGAGCTCAAAGTAAAAGGAAGTCATTATTCTGATCATCGTTAACATTATGAAGAGAGGACAAAACCGAGAATATCATAGTATAACCAAGACTGCAGATATACAGATGCCCTGAAGAGTCCCTTTAACTCCAGGCTCTAGAGACCCTGCTCCTCTAAAGGCAGAGATCCTGAAATAGGGGATAGCCAGAGAAGGAGGTGTCTTTGTGACTCTCACCTTATGTAATGTATAAAGGAGCAAAGGAGAGAAAGAAAGACTGAAAACCAAAGAGACTTACTTAGATGAAGGGCTGAAACTGCCCCAAATAGAAGAGCCAGAAGTAGGGGGAGTTTCATCTTGACTTTGTCCTGAAATGGAGAACACGGTTTGTCATAAACACACACACATCACAGCCACACCATTAGGGGACCTTGGGAGTTAGCTGGAGAAAGAGTAGGCATGAGTAGAAGTCAAGATGGACCAGAAAAGCTAATGCTGAGCCCAGCCCCTGAGGCTCCAGGATGCTAGAATAGAATGAAGCAGACCATGAGGGACAGCAAGGTTGGCTTTGCTGTGGACCTGAGTGTGAATAAGGGAATTATTACTTTTACTTTTTGTACTTAATGGGCCTTCACAGTCTATGAAAAAAAGAGGATCCAGAAACAATGATTATTGGCCTTCCTAGGAGTATACAGCACTTAGAAAGTGGGTTCCCCCCTCAAAGCTCAAGAAGCCACATGTGCATCGCTGCCTTCCCCAGACAAGGAGAGCTTTGGCATACCTCAGATGGAATGTGAAAGGTAGAGGATGAGAATTCCTGTCCCTGCTGACACCCATGCAACCTGACAGCTGCACACAGTGCCAGCCAGCCCTCCAGAACCTCCCAGTTCAGGCCAGACGTGTCCCAAGAGATTGAACATTTACTTGGAACCAGTTCCATTACACCAGAAAGCACTTACTTACCAAGAAGTGTTCCTGGGTCCTGAGGAGTTCCCAATGTCAGACCTTCCGATGCTCCCTCCAACAGTGATAGTTTATATAGTGGCCTTGGAGGAAGTTCCCCAGAGGAAGAAAGGTTTGCCACAGCATGAGGGATGTGAGAGGACTGATAAGAACCCTGGATTTCTTCACTTCCCTGGGGAGCCCACTCATTGCCTTCCAGCTTCTCTCCTGTCAGCCTTTTCAGGAAACTGGAGGCCATTCTGAGATCACTCGGAGCCAGTGGTTCCTATCCTGTACTGCATTGCAGAATCTCCTTGGAAGCTTGTCCAAAATGCACAGCTCTCCTGCTTTACCGGTGGGAATGTGAACTGCCACAGACATTTTGGAAGTGAATCTGCCAATATTTATTAAAACTAAAAGTATCATTTGATCAATCTCAGTCTTTGGAGACCTTTGGAGACTCTCCTTTGGAAAGAAAAGCACCTATAAGTAAGAACACTTTTACAAAGTTGTGTATTGCTTTACACTTCATAGAAATGAAAGTTTTCACGGCAACAAGCAGCTGACTCCCAGCTAGATGGATAGGAAGTGAATAGAAAGGAAGGAAACAGGGGCATTCCAGGTGGAAGGAGCAACATGAGCAAAAGAATGGAGGTGGGGCGACCTTGGCACATGCAGAGGACAGTGTCCTCTCCTTCATAACTGATGCTAACAGTGTACACATTGGAAAGGACTAGGAAAAACAGGGAAGAATACCTCCACTCTTAAGCCAAGGAATGAAAATATCCTTCCTCTGTATCCACTGACTTAAGGAGATCGAAGCAGAAGTCAAGGGACTGACTCAACAAGAAACCAGACAGAAGCTTTGAGCTGGCTCCTGCTCACTCCCGTCCCTAAGCCCTGCCTGCAGGGCCACTTTGCATGTTGGATGGAGCTGCTGCAGTTAATGACAAGATGGAGCTGATTCTTGGAGGCCAGTTGGCCGCTCAGGCACCTCTACCCCAAGGAAAGTCTCCTGTATGTCAGACAATCCACAATCTGAAAGCCACAGCTTAGTGACCCTGGAAATTCCATTTCATGAAGATCCAGTGGAGGTATGGAGCAATGGCTGAGGGTGTGTGTTCTGGAGTCTGACAGTCCAGGTTTGAATCTAGGATCTATCACTTACTAGCTGTGTGACCCTGAACAAGTTCCTTCACCTCTCTGTACTTCATACCATCGTTTATAAAGTGGGGATAACAGTACCTACCTCACTAGGTAGTCAGTGTGTAGTGGACATACTGTGAGCTGCCTGACTCCGTTACCACCTTCCTGAGGTTTCTGGAACTCCTCCTCCTATGGATCTTGGTGGGGAGCGGGCCTCTCATTATTGAAGATGAAAGAGCCAAATAGGTTCCCAGCCTCCTTTACAGCTAAGGTATATGGCTCGACTCTGTTGAACAGAAGCATGCATTCAAGCCTTTGAATCTGGACCTAATGACCAGAAAGTGGGGGCCACGAAGACCTCTCTCTGGTTGTGGCAGTGGCAATATCACATTCCTGGCACTGCAGTGGCCATAGTGTTAGAAGATGGATCCAGAGTCCCTGTGGTCCCAGCCACAGGGTCTGAATTATAACAGTGGCAGGGGGGGTCCTCCCCAGACCTGTCCTGTGTCCTGGTTTTGGCCCCAAGTCTTCTTCTGTAGCCCTCCTGCACTTTTATTAGCTACCTCACTTCCTTTGAACAAACTCATTTTTCTACTCAGATCAACCAGGGAGAGTTTCTTTTGCCTGCCACTAACGTCCCTGTGCGATGCAGGAACTGACATTTAGTTATTGCTCAACAAATGACAGCTACTCATCTTAATAGGCAGAAGTGATCAGGGTCTTCGGGGCTGACCCACATTAATCAAACTCTCAAGAGACCAATGTCTATATCTGGTCCCAATAATTTAATTTAAGTTGACCTATGCCAACAAGGGGCCCACTTGCCTGGGCCCTCTGATCAGTGCATTCTCTCCTTGTATCATAAGCTACAGTGTGTTCAGTAGACCTAGATTTTTTTATTGAGGTTATGATAGTTTACAACCTTGTGAAACTTCAGTTGTACATTATTATTTGTCAGCCATCTTATAGGTGCACCACTTCACCCTTTGTGCCCACCCATCACCCCTCTTTCCGCTGGTAACCACTAATCTGTTCTCTTTGTCCATGTGTTTGTTTATCTTCCATGTATGCGTAGAGTCATACAGAGTTTGTCTTTCTCTATCTGGCTTATTTCACTTAACATAATACCCTCAAGGACCATCCATGTTGTTGTGAATGGGACTATTTTATCCTTTTTCATGGCTGAGTAGTATCGAATTGTATATATATATCATATCTTCTTTATCCAGTCATCAGTCAGTGGGCACTTATGTTGCTTCCACATCTTGGCTATTGTGAATAATGCTGCGATGAACATAGGGGTGCATTCATCTCTTTGAATTGCTGATTTCAAGTTCTTTGCATAGATACCCAGTAGTAGGATGGCTGGGTCATATGGTATTCCTATTTTTAATTTTTTGAGAAATCTCCATAGTGTTTTCCATAGTGGCTGCACTGATTTGCATTCCCACCAGCAGTGTATGAGGATTCCTTTTTCTTCACAACCTCTCCACCATTTATTTTTTGTTTTGGTTATTTTAGCCATTCTAATGGGTATAAGGTGATATCTTAGTGTGGTTTTGATTTGTATTTCCCTGATCAGTGATGATGAGCATCTTTTCATGTGCCTAGTAGTCATCTGTATATCTTCTTTGGAAAAATGTCTGTTCATATCCCATGCCCATTTTTTGATCAGGTTATTTGATTTTTTTGTTGTTGAGTTGCGTGAGTTCTTTATATATTATGGAGATTAACCCTTTGTCGGATATATGACTTGAAAATATTTTTTTCCAGTTGGTGGATTGTGTTTTTGTTTCAATCCTGCTTTCCCTTGCCTTGTAGAACCTGTTTAGTGTGATGAAGTTCCAATTGTTTATCCTTTCTATTGTTTCCCTTGTCTGAGAAGACACGGTGTCCAAAAAGATCTTTTTAAGACTGATGTCAAAGAGTATACTGCATGTATTTTCTTCTAGTATCCTTATGGTTTCAGGTCTTACCTTTAGGTCTTTGATCCATTTGGAGTTTATTTTAGTGAATGGCGTAAAAGAATGGTCCATTTTCATTCTTTTACATGTGGCTGTTCAGTTTTCCCTACAGCATTTGTTGAAGAGCCTTTCTTTTCTCCGTTGTATGCCCTCAGCTCCTTTGTCGAAGATTAACTGTCCATAGATGTGTGGTTTTATTTCTGGACTTTCAATTCTGTTCCATTGATCTGTGTGCCTGTTTTTGTACTAGGACCATGCTTTTTTGATTACTATAGCTTTGTAGTACATTTTGAAGTGAGGGATTGTGACGCCTCCAGCTTTGTTCTTTTTTCTCAGGATTGCTTTAGCAATTCGGGGTCTTTTGTTGCCCCATATGAATTTTAGGATTCTTTGTTCTATTTCTGTGAAGAATATCCTTGGGATTGCATTGAGTCTGTAGATTGCTTTGGGTAGTATAGACATTTTAACTATGTTTATTCTTCCAATCCATGTGCATCGAATGCCTTACCATCTCTTTATGTCTTCATCAATTTCGTTAAGGAAAGTCTTGTAGTTTTCACTGTATAGTTCTTTCTCTTCCTTGGTTAAATTTATTCTGAGATATTTTATTCTTTTCGTTGCAATTGTTCATGGGACTGTGTTCTTGAGTTCTCTTTCTGTTAGTTTATCTTAGAGTATAGAAATGCTATTGATTTATGTAAGTTGATTTTGTACCCTGCAACCTTGCTGTGATCGTTAATTACTTCTAGTAGCTTTCCAATGGATTTCTTAAGGTTTTCTATATATAAGATCATGTCATCTGCAAACAGAGAGAGTTTCACTTCTTCCTTGCCCATTTGGATTCCTTTTATTTCTTTTTCCTGCCTAATTGCTCTGGCCAAAACCTCCAGGACTATGTTGATTAAGAGTTGTGAGAGTTGGCACCCTTTTCTTGTTCGTGTTCTCAGAGGGGTGCTTTCATTTTTCCCCATTGAGTATGATTTTGGCTGTGCGTTTATCCTTTGTGTTCCTTATTATGTTGAGGTACTTTCCCTCTTATCCATTTTATTGAGAGATTTTATCATAAATGGCTGTTGGATCTTGTCAAATGCTTTCTCTGGTTCTGTTGAGATGATCACGTAGTTCTTGTTCCTGATTTTGCTAATGTGGTGTATCACGTTGATTGACTTGCGGATGATGAACCATCCCTGTGTCCCTGGTATAAATCCCACTTGTTCATGGTGTATGATCTTTGTAGCGTATTGCTGTATTTGGTTTGCCAATATTTTGTTGTGGATTTTCGCGTCTATTTTCATCAGTGATATTGGCCTGTCATTTTCCTTCTTTGTATTGTCCTTGTCTGGTTTTGGGATCAGGATGATGTTGGCCTGGTAGAATGGGTTAGAAAGTGCTCCATCTTCCACAATTTTCTGGAATAGTTTGAGAAGGATAGGTATTAAATCTTCTTTGAATGTTTGGTAGAATTCTGCAGAGAAGCCACCTGGTCGTGGACTTTTATTTTGAGGGAGGTTTTTGATTACTGTTTCAATCTCTTTACATGTGATTGGTCTATTCAGATTCTCTTTCTTCCTCATTTAGTTTTGGGAGGTTGTAAGAGTCTACGAATTTATCCATTTCTTCTAGGTTGTCCAATTTGTTGGCATATAGTTTTTCATAGTATTCTCTTACAATCTTTTGTATTTCTGTGGTATCCATTTCTCCTCTTTCATTTCTGATTTTATTTATTTGAGTCTTCTTTTTTTCTTAGTGAGCCTGGCTAAAGGTTTTTCACTTTGTTTATTTTCTCAAAGAACCCGCTCTTCGTTTCATTGATCCTTTCTACTGTCTTTTTTGTTTCAATTTCATTTATTTCTGCTCTAATTTTTATTATTTCCCTCCTTCTACTGACTTTGGGCTTTGTTTGTTCTGTTTCTAATTCTGTTATGTGCAGTTTGAGATTGCTTATTTGAGACTTTTCTTGTTTATTGATGTGAGCCTGTATTGCAATGAATTTCCCTCTTAGGACGACTTTTGCTGCATCCCAAATGAGATGGTATGATGTGTTTTTATTTTCATTTGTCTCCAGATAATTGATTTCTTCTTATTTCTTCAATGATCCATTGGTCATTCAGTATTGTGTTGTTTAATCTCCACATCTTTGCCCCTTGCCCAGCTTTATTCTTGTAATTGAATTCTAGTTTCATAGCATTATGGTCAGAAAAGATGCTTGATATCATTTCAACCCTCTTGAATTTGTTGAGGCCTGCTTTGTTTCCCAACATGTGGTCTATCTTTGAGAATGTTCCATGCACACTTGAGAAGAATGTGTAACCTGCTGTTTTTGGATGGAATGTTCTATATATATCTATCAAGTCCATCTGGTCTAGTTTTTCATTTATTTCTACAATTTCCTTCTTGACTTTC